GAATATCCATGGGTAACTGGGCCAGTTTAGCTGAGTGGCCCAACACCCCAGTCTCGGCTCCATTGCTGTGCATCGCTCTTGCTGTATTAAACATCACAGAGGACAGACGGTGTCTTAGAGTAAAATCTAAACAGACAAAAAGGAGTGTGGTCTGACTGATTCCTCCATGTGTGGGATCTTCTGGGGGACGTCATGTCCCCAAAGTCACCCAGGGAATACTCCAAGCACCTGCTCACTCTAGCACAAAAACATGTTTCTTACTGTGCTTTTCAAAATTTGAGATTATGCAGAGGAGACCTTTCACCACAACGGGATGAAGGAAAGGGCCAGCTCTGCACACCACCTTCCACAGGGAAGCCTGTCTTTCACTGTCCCCATCCCAAGGCCTATTGAGCACCTGTTAACCGTGGACCCAAATCTAGAAACTCAGCAACAAAAGAGAAATGGGGCGTGTTTCCCAAGACAGACTGACAACAAGCCAACCCATGTGACCATCGGCTGGTTGTTGCTGGGTAACAAACATCTCAAAACTTAAGCAATTGCTTGCTTCTAACCCACATAGCAGTGGACAGGCTGATCTGGACTGGACTGTGCTGGGCTTGCTCAAGCAACTGTACATCTGAGAGCAAGCTCTTTGGTGTTCTAGGGACCAGCAAGTACACACACAGATACCATGTCAAGGGCTGGTAGAGGCCATAGGGAAAGTATGTTAGCTACTTTTTCTTGTTTCTGGGACCAAATACCTGACAAGAAGCAACTTGAGAGAGGAGAGGTTCATTTGGGCTCATGGTTTGAGGGGATACCGTCCATCCTGGAGGAGAAGGCACGGCAGCCAATGGTTCTGTGGTAGTGGAAGCCTGTGGTGGCTGCTGGCTCTCATCTCAGTAGCGTCAGCTGGCCTGTAACCCTCAGTGCCTGTGTTCTCCACTGACCCACTTCCTCCAGCCAGGCCCCACCTCCTAAAGGTTCTACGACCTGCAAAAACAGCACTCCTAGTTGGGGACCAAACATTCAAGCACACAGTCTGTGGGTGTTGGGGTGCATTTCCCATGCAAACCTTAAGAGAGACCAGGTGGGAGCCAAGAAGTTCTCTTGAACTTGAACTGACGCATGACCTGCCATAATGCTGTGCTTCCTACAAGTCACGTGGCAAAACTGAGCTCAAGGGTAAGCATGCAGTGCTGGTTGGAGCAGGGCTGGGAGAGGATAGCTCAAGGCAAAGTTCATGCAAGGTCAAGCAACCAGAAAGCTACAAAGAAGCACAGAGTGGAGTTCCGGCTCAGGGTGACAGGATTCTGGTCCAGGGTGACGGGATTCTGGCCCAGGGTGATGGGGTGCTCTTCTGGCCTGGATTTGGTGTGGAGGAGACGTGAAGGGTGGTGTGTCATTTGGGGAAGGCAGCAGGTTAACGTTAAAGTGTGTTGCCCTGGTACGTCCATCATCTCGTGGGGCCTCCAGGCACACTGAGAGTTGTTTTAGCTCACAGGGGTGCCTGTCAGTGTTCTATACAAACAGCACAGGCAAAAGTTGAATAATTTACCTTTGCTGGACTACACACCAATTTCCCTCAGCCCAAAAGTGTATGTGGGTGGGTGCATACACATGTACCTGTGGACCATCTCCACCCACTCTGGCGAGTCCTTAGCCATATCAGCCAAGCAGAGGGATAGTCTGACCCCTGGCACCCCACAGTAGGCAGCTATCACCTGTTGGGTAGTCTGTCAGCTCCAAGGCCCAGCTGAATCACCTGGAAAGGGGCGTCAACCTCCAGTGGATATACAGGCAGCTCTCATCTGTGACAGTGGCTGTGCTTGTTGGATGGCGGGGGTGGGGTAAGGGGGTGG